TTATTTTTCTTTGGAGGTGTGTTTATCCTTTGGGATGTCGAAGGATTAATATGATCACATAGAAGCACTACAGAAATGAAAGCTGGAGTACAACTAAATTACTTGGACTTAATTTAACCTGTAGCATTGCACACACAGAGAATATTAATTATGAATTATGCCTGAGCCTGGAGAATCAAGAAGGAACATGGGCCCTTGGAAAAAGAGTTTGCCAGTTACTGTAGGTCATAAGAACGAAACGTTGCCAAAAATCTTAGTCAATGTTTTAATTGCCTGTAGAGGTGGTTTCAGGACCAAAAAGGCCTGTTTATACATTTCCAGCAGTGCTTTATCTCAGCCCAGCGCTGACACAGGTTTGCTGATGGCAGATGTGAGCCCACATCTGCTGGCAGACTGATAATTTTCTGGTGTTCTGCCAACACTTCTTTAATTAACCAAAGTGTCAAAGACTGGTTAGAAACCTATGCTTTTTGAATGTTTCCCAAAAGCTAAAAGGCAAGTAGGGTGGTTTCTTTGTTTTACAGTCTTAGCTGTACCAGCAGCTCTTTTTAAGAAAGCTCTAATGGTACATGATAAAGACAAATACTGTGTGTTGCTGTCCCTCAGAATACTTTCATACCTGCATATTTCAGAAGAAATTGAGGCATAAATAAAGCTGCTGTTCCTGAAGTACGAAGTCACTATCAACAGCAGGCTCAGTGCATTTCAAGAAATTTGGCCTGAGGTCCCAAAACACGAAGGGATACTTCTAAAATGCTTTGTGTTAAGCACTGCCTGGCTCATCAGTGCAGTGCTGTGCTGCTGCTGCTGCTTTCACATTCTGAAAGTTCAGGAGGAAAAGTTGGCTGAGGTGTCGTGGTCGTTGAAAATGCAGCAGGGGAAGCTCTGAAAGCACCTTTACCTTGTGTGAAAATGTCCAGCACTTTGAAGGTACTTTGCTGAATGCAGGCCTACATGTTAAATTTACAGCATTGGTTTGTCCAAGCAGCACATTTTAAGTAGGAGAAATGTCATTTGAAATTATGGATTCTAGATGCTGTATCTAATTTTACAGAGCACAACTGAAAGAATAATAATTAAAAAAACCCTCTCCCACCAGAGGGTATATATTTCTAGACAACTTGTATCTGCCTCTACACAAAGGAATCTGAGATTTATCTTAGTAGATGCAAAGTATATTTTTTGCTGCTCTGGCCTCCACAGACATGGGTTAAAAAGGAGATTTTATTTCCTTTTTTACAAACATTCAAAGAGGTCATCCTGTTTTCTGTATCCCAACATCTATGGAAAACTCTAGATGACTCCATCTGTCATGATTGTTAGATGATTCCAGATCTGTCATTAGCAAAACACTGAAGTAATTTGACTTTGTTTACCAAAAAATTGTTTTCAAGTCCCTACCAGGCAGCACAACCCGAATGCCCTCATGTCACTGAGAGGGAACCGAGGGGGAGTCACACAGCAAGTTAAATATTTTAGCGAACTTAATTCCAAAAGTCTCTGGGAAATTTTGGAAAGAGATCTGGGTTGTTTAAATCCCAGCGCTCTGGCTTAGCCACAGGAACGTTGTTCATCTGCAAACATGCCAACGTGCCTGCTTTTTACAGCCAATTGCCCTGTGCCGGGCAGGGGCTCAGTGCCAGGCAGAGCCCAGCTGAGCCCAGCCCAGGTGGGACTGGATCCCACTGCAGCCCCTGGGGCTGTGGGTAAGCCTGGCTTTGTCCTCGGGCTGTGGGTAAGCCTGGCTTTGTCCTCGGACTGTGGGTAAGCCTGGCTTTGTCCTCGGGCTGTGGGTAAGCCCGGCTTTGTCCTCGGGCTGTGGGTAAGCCCGGCTTTGTCCTCGGGCTGTGGGTAAGCCCGGCTTTGTCCTCGGGCTGTGGGTAAGCCTGGCTTTGTCCTCGGGCTGTGGGTAAGCCTGGCTTTGTCCTCGGGCTGTGGGTAAGCCCGGCTTTGCCCTCAGTCACCTTCCAGTTCTCCCAGCCCTGTGTGTGAGCTGGGAAGCAAAGGATGAACTCTAGACATTGTAAACATGAGCTTTCTTTGGGGTTGCCATCTTCTCCCCACAGGTGCTCGCTGCTGTATTTTGGGAGTTTTATAGTCAAGCTACATATGACAGAATTAGTAATTAAATAGAAATGTAAAAACGGGTCGTGCTCTCAGGGAATAAATAAAAATGGGGCATCTGGGGGACCCCCCCCCCAGTGCAGCTTCACTTTTGATTGTACAGGGTCATGCTTTTTCCTTTTAATGATTTTCTGCCTTAAAGATGTGCTAAAAAGGCAGAGGCCAAGAGAGAATGCCCAGTACTCTTAGGTCTTCTGAGAAAGGCTCAAGGGTTTCATTTTCAGGGGGGCTGAGCAGCAGGCAGCATAAAACTGTCATTTCATTCAGCTATGCATTAACAATTTAGGTGGGGTTAGTAAATGGTGCATAGATGTTAACTGCATGTGGAGTATAATATAACACTTAAAACCTTAGTGATTCATAAATTGTAGTAATTTTGGCTACTTGTACTTCGTAGTTAACTCTTTCACAAAATATTTTAGAAGACATCTAAAAATAAAAGTCGTTATAATCTATATAAAGAATAAAGCAAAGCGTTTTTGCAGACCAAGTCCCTCTCTCAAATTTTGACTCAAAATTTCATATTGTAATTAAACCTTGATGAATGAAATAGAGAAGGGCAACTGAGTTGGGACTCCTAAAGTAGCAGGGGTGTTACTGAGTTAGCCTTTTCTTCTGATTTTTGGCTTCATCCACACAATGTTGAGTGTATTTGTCAGTCCTTTGTTCTCCTTTAAAGCAATGGGGCCTCTGTCCTTTGGGCAACTGTCAGTAAGTTTAAAAGCAGAAATTGTAGCTATATGAAAATGATCTTAGAAGGGATGGGTGTCACTATTTGTTGGCAACAGCCATGAATATTTTGATATTTTTATTCATACATTGCCTGCAGTTGGTATGAGCAGAGCGTACAGGAAATGGTTGATGAGCCAGAAATACTGGTACACAAGGGCATGAGCTCAAGGGTCAGAAAAGGAAAAACAAGAAACAACTAAACTTCACAATAGGCTGGTAGCAAATGTGTGCCAAAAAAAAGGGGAAAGCGTTCCAAATAGAAACCCTTCAGGCTGGGTTCTTGGCTGGTGCAAGCTGATGTTTGTTCTGCTGTGATTTAGTGTAGTGACCTTAATTTATGCCAGCTCAGGTTCTGTCCCTTCCCCTTTAGGATATGTGCAATAATGGGTTTCCATGAAAAATGTGAGTTTCCTCGCCTTGGTTGGTGGTTGTGGCTGAATTATTGTGCTGCAATGCTGTGCCACACATGGAAGGATCTGGATTTCAGTTGTGGGAATAAAGCTTTGCTTTCTGCTTTTGGCACTAGAAAGACTTTTGGTCACACCCTTCCAATGTGGTGGCTCATGGTCCTATTTTCAAGGAGGGCTTTTTGTTTGGTTGGTTTTGTTTGTTTTGTTTGGTTTTTTTTTTTATTAGAGGGTTTGTTGAGGAAAACACTATTTGCATGTACTGGAGATCTCAGAAGGGTGGGTGAACAAAGCACAGATGGCTGCTTGGCCAGAAACAGTGTTTATTCTAGAAGATTTGTTACCATGATTCTAATAGAAGATAAAGTAGTCCCTGAACCTTCCCCCAAGGCATGTCTTTGGTACAGTTTATAGCCCACTTGAAAACCTTTGACTCTGACGTCTCTTTGATCCACTTACAAGCATCTTCTTACAGAGATGGTGGATACAAAGCAAGAACTCCTCCGGGACCTCTGCTCTGCTGGCTTTCCCTGCAAAGACAACCCATCTTTCCCACTGTACAAATATAGAAGAACTGACTTGCAGTTGCATCAAGAGCTGTTCTTACAGATTCTCTTGCTGTTCTCTGGAAAAACACAGTTATTTAGCCATGCTGCTTTCATAGAGTATCAGCTCCAGCTTTCCCTTGGAATCTCTGTCATATAGAAAAAAATTCTGCTGTTTTAGCCCAGTTCTTCATGGGATTTCTACTGTTCTTGAATAGTGTTTTTAGTAGTCATATTGATTATCTAAAGGATACCCAAAAAAATGCATCTGTGCCCAAAGCTTGCCTATTTCTCCGAACATAGCAACTGTTCTAATTCACCCCCTGCCTTTTCTAGAAGTCTTTCTCCCCTTTGTGTGTGCCCACACACAGAGAAGGCTTCTGCTGTAACTGCAGTAATGTGAGGACACAGGCAGAACAAAGTAATTAAGTATTTTAACTATTTAACTTGTATTTACTTTTGTAATCTGCTTCGAATGTGAACAAGGCTGGTGTGCCAAAGGCTTGCATTGCAGGTGACCTCATAAAGGATGTTCCTTCCATCTGGAGAACTTGCCCTGCCTCAATACCTGTGTGTGCACACATGTGTGCTTATGTGTAAGAAGCTCTTCCTACTCTTCAGGTGCAAGAACTCTGAAGTTAGGACTTGAAGGCACGAGTTAAAATGCAAAGTCATGCAATGACTGTAATACCAGCATGTGGAAATACAAGAGGAAAAGTGGTAATATGGTATTGAAGCATAGGATGAGAATGAGAAGCTGGTGTGGCCAGCTTTTAGTAAGTTAAGGAAGCTCGTATGTTAAGTGTTTCAACTCTGTTGAATCTGAGCCCAGAAAATGAATGATGAAAAATATGAGGTTGTTATGGAAAGGAAATAATTCTGATCTAATTTATTGACTTTATCTTGAAGTGTTGTCTTGTTGCCGAGGAAAATGACATCTCAATTAAAGCCTTACTTTTTTTTTTATAGCACTGTTGCTCCATTTACTCCACAAATTCATTTTCTTCTACAGGCACTTTTGATACTGTTACTTAAAAGCACACTGTTTTAAAGACAAGGAGTCTCCTGATATTTCTATCATTCACCTGGATTAGAATTTTGCAATGCCTTCATTAACCTTCTAAAGTTATTTAATAAGAAGGCAATAATAACTTTGCTGTTGATTTAATGTGACTTTTTTTTATCTAAACAGATGTGTCCTGAAAGCAGCAGAAATATTAGAGAGGTGCAATGTGCATCATACAATAACAAGCCATTTATGGGTCGATTTTATGAATGGGAACCTTTTGCAGAAGGTAAGGGAAGACAACTTGGTTTTGCATTATTATACAGATTGTGTTTTGGAAAGCCAAATGTGATTTTTACTCAATGGAAGCCACGAGGATTTGAGTCTTGCTCATTTTCCTCTGTTTGTCTGCTACATTTATTCATGGGCAGACAATTAGATAATCTCACATCAGTATTTCTTATCTTTTACAGGAATGAAGGCATGTAAGTCCTACTTTGGCTAGTGTACCATCAGCTCAGTATAGTGGTTCAGCACTATTTCAGCTACTACACTGTTAACTATCTCCTTTTTTTCTCTATTTACTTGTGATGACAAAGGCTCAGTATGGCTCCATTTCAGTAAATGGAGGGGTTTTCTTTATACCAGTTCAGCACCTGACTTGTGGTGCTTACACATTCATATTAGGACTCTCTGGCTGTCGAATTTGTATTTTCTAATGATATGGTTGAAGCTGGGATGGTGACTGTGAAGGATACCTGGGCTCTGGACTTCCCCAGCTGCATGTTGGACTGACTGTCTTAGAACACAAAGCAGCAGCAGCTCTAGTAGTGCTCTGCCGCCCCTCTAGAGTCCTAATCCTTGGATGATAAAGTCTCAGTAAGAGAAAATGGTTTATGTAATACTTATTTATTTTGTTTGTCTCTTTGTACACAAGAGCTGAGCCCACTGCCTCAGATGAGGCAAATCATTAATTATGCAAATATGCTTCTGGATTCTGAGGAATTTAGTTTGTCTTTCTGTTTTAAATTACATTTTTAAAAGTTGTTTTTCACAAAACTCCAAAGACCAAAAAGGATTTATGCACAGACAAACACATCCACTGGCTGAGCTGTCTTCGTGGTTCTGAGGCCCTTCTGGTCCATGTGTCTCCTCCCAGTGGAGGCACAGTCTACCTTGAAAATTTGAAAATAAAGGATCTAGGCCCATCTACTTATTCCAGCTACATTTCAGAAGGCAAAGTGTAAGGAAGGTTATTACCTGTATTTTTTAAGTGTCTCTTAAATACAGCTTTTACTGTCTTCTGTGTAAGTAGCTACGTGTAATACAATGCACACAATGAAGCAGGAGTAATGCCATGGCTTGCAATGTCTTACAGTCAGTTTGCAGGGATTTCTCTTTGCTGGAGGATGTCAGTACTGCTCTGTGTATGTTTTACCTTCCTTCAGTCCTCAACTCATCATGATGAGTCCCTTTCCAAACTTTAAGAGTGATGCGAAGTAAGACTTGGAAAAGGAATGAGGAAGCTTCTTTCATAATGGAGGGGTTCTGCATGGTTCTCATATTTTCATTCCTCTTTTCTTCCTGATAGGTTTGGAAGGAGAAAAGGGTGATTGTTAGTGGTGATTTTTTGCAGGTAATAAACTGAGGTCAGGTCTATCCTGCAGTCTAGAGCCTGATAGTAAGTTTTGAAGTGAAAGCAGTGGGAAATACATCTGTGCAGGGCTGCAGTTGGGGGCAGTTGTGCTGCTGTCACTGAATTGCTTCTGGGGACTGAGAGAACCCCTTGCTGGACTGCATTCTGTGGCTTCTGTCCTTTGCCTCATTACACAGAGGCAAAATGCCTGTTTTGCATCAATAAAGACCCTTCCAAAGATGTGCTGAAGGAAGTATTAGAAGTCATTGTTCATTTATTTTTCAGGGGACTCAAGAAATGTTGCAAATATGTGAAGTTCCTTTTTCCTCTACTCAGAAATGGACATTTCTGTGGGTGCTCAGCATGCTGGCATGCTCTCTGTAGTTCCTTTAGATGAACAGCTTCGATCCACAATTGATATTACCTATTTTTACATAGTCAGTGCAGATTAAGGTAGATTGGTATCTAACTCCTGGCTGATCTGATAATGTTTGTCTCTAATGTAGCTATGCCTCAGTCCTCATTTTATCTGTTGCTGGTGTAGTAAACTCTTGCAGAGCTACACCCCTTTACCTCCAATTGGGAACATCAGTATATATTTACTATTTTTTTAGTTAAAGTCATGTTTGGCTTTGTGAAGTTGCCCAAAAGGACGTTTCAGAGCTGTACAACTCTGGCACTTTGTACCGTACATTTAGGCACAAAAAAGAGTTTGGTACCCCAGCAAGGCCATGGCTGAAGGCATGTTCTGCAGACACCATGACTTCTATGAGGTGACCCCAAAGACTTATGATGTATTAGCTGTGGTGCATCCCTTTTCAAGCTGCTGTTGACAGGACAGAGCCAATGCTGAGCCTTCTCAGCCCACCTCCATCTCCTTGCTTCCTACACAGCAGCTCTGTCTTGTGCCAGGAAAGATGAATCAGGGGATCTAAAACATGCCATGATCGTTTCATTTTCCCTCCCCTGCACAGCACGGCTTGCTCTTAATGTTTATATTGGATCAATAAAGGCAGCTAAACTGTAATTTACAACCCTGTCCTGATGGTGAGTTGTGTAATTATTGTTATTTTTTAAAAATGCACATATTTTTATTTCTCCCTTGTTCAGATTGGTGCAGCTGCATTTCTAACCTGTTTTATCTGCTGCTGCTCCAACACAAACTTTTGTCTTTATTAAAAAAGTCATACTAAAGGGACTATAAACTCTGTGAACTTAGAGTATTTAATGAAAAAACCCTAGTTTGTGTTGGAGAACCAATAGTATATGATAACTAAGGGCGGGATTTGAGAGGAAGGGTACAGCTGTGACAGAGGGAAAACATCACAGTGACATAACCATAAACCTGTAAGGAAGTTTAAATCTACTGAACTAATAACTGATAATTGAACTCTTTAATTTGAACTCTTAAGTTCATCTAACTTTCTTTTTTAATTGTGATGAAAAATCCACAACCTTTTGATGGCTGGATGAAAAGAATCTGTTGAAAGGAGAAAACCTTTTGGATAGTTGGAAGGGGTAACTTGGAGGGGATCTGACCACAGGAGCCTCTCAGTGAAGAATGACTGCATTTGTTGAGAGAGGGGAGACAACTGCAGATTTTTTTTTTGTCAGAAATTCTGTATAAGGTTGAAGATGAAATAAAGTCCTTTCCAGGAGAATCTCTGTCTCATATTTCATTTTCAGGAGGATACCTGGATAATCTTAAGCATCCAGAATACATTGTTAAATACAGTGTTTTCAAATCCACAACCGCAAAAAATCCTGGTTGACTCTTGCATTGAGTTCTGTTTGAAAATGTCCTCCAGGCACACGTAGCAGACACTGTTTTGTGCAGCAGTCCCAGCCCTGGGTTCGTGTTCCAGCAGCTGAGTGTCCCCTGTTCAGGGAGGGCACCGTGGCTCTGCTCTCTGCAGGGACAGGGGCCTTTCCCAGCCTGTGCTGCTCTGTGCAGGGGGGACCAGCCAGGGCAGCTGCTTTGCCCCCTTCCCTCACAGTTAAAGGAATGCAAAGTTTTCATGGAAATGATTTTATTTGGTTTTGTTTTATTTTTCCTCCATTTTGTTATTCTAGAGCAAAATTTTAATGGGAAGTTTTCTAACATGTGGACTCGACCAAGCATTTCCTCCAAGTGATGTTTTTGTTTGCTTTTTGTTGTAAATCAGCTCTAGTTTCAGTGCTCTCCTTTCAGGTGAATGCACTTGTTTGCAGGGCAGGACACTTATTTGCTGACACTGTAGTGACTGAGGGAATCCTGGCTGTTCCCAGTGCGTGTGATTTCAGGTGGGCAGCTCACTGGACGTTTGCTATAAAGGGAGTAAGGAACGGGGACGTGGCTCAAGGATCATCATAGTGGTGTCTGTACAGATGATTTAGTTCCACTTGGTTGAGTCAAGATGTCTTTGGCTTAAAATCCCGTACGTAGCCAGACGAGTTTCTAGGAACAGAGCCATGCTCAGATCTTGAGAGCTGTTTGAAGAGCTTGTTGCTGGCAGATGGTTGCTGGAAGCTGCAGGGCCGTGCAGGGTGTGTGGAGAGGCCCCAGCTCCTGCTGTCAGCCGGGGCTGGCGCGAGGGCAGCGCCTTCACCTGGCCAGGGGTCGGGGTCAGGGTCAGCCAGCACAGGTGAGCTCTGGCACTGAGGAGGATCCCTGGAAGGCCTGGCAGAGTTTGGTTCCTTCTAATTGCCAGGTCTGGCTTCTTCTTATGACTTCTCTGTGTTTTTCTGTTTATTGCTGAGAGACAGAAGTCGTATGGAGCCCATACACCACATGGCTCTTTGGAGCAGCGTTCCAGTCAGGCTGAGTTTCAGCTGGGATAAAAATTCCTGTAGCTGAAAGCAGCAGCAACGTATATAGAATGGCACTAATGTCACTGCTGTATTTTCTGTGGGAAGAAAATTTGTCCCCAGAGTCGTTGTTGCCAAACCCAGCTCTTGATGGGCACCATAACGAGTGATTCAAAATCAGCTGGGGGGGAAGATGCTGACAGGCACCAGGTGTCAGCACCAAGCCTTTTGGCAGGCTGGGTGGGCCATTTCAGCTGTTTTCTCTTGGAATCTGTCAGAATCCAAACTCTGAATGAATGGGAGGATATTTGGTCTGCATGGTTTTCACACTGGACTTCATGGTACTCTTTCTCTAAGATGACTTTCATGTCAGTGCTCCAACCTGAAGCCTGTGTTGTGTTCAGAGGAGAACTCACTGTACAGGTAGATGCTGTAAAATCATTTATTGTATTATTTTGTTTTAAAATACCTTCTAATAACTTCTAGCTATAGATGCCTGCCAGCTACAGCTGTGATAAATATAAGCTGTGAAAAAACCGAAATTTATAACTTCCACAGGTGTCTAGCAAATAGTGCTACTTCAATACTTTGTGTCAGGTAAGAAGCATTTATGAGTTAGACTGAACTGGTTCTGGTGAAGACTAATGCAGAGCTGCTACATTTATTGATTTGTGGTTTTTCTTGCTGGATTTGTAACAACAGATTTCACTGATTTTGAATGACAAAATAGCTTCTCCTAACAGATCAAAATATAGTGGCCCAACTTAAGACGTGAAGGTGCTAAGAAACTTCTTCAGTCTGCTGGCAATTGATGACATTGAAGGCACTTAATGAGCTCTGATTAATATGATTTAAGTAATTAATGGAAGACAAGCCTAATTGATCTGTTAAAAATCTTGCTCAGGTGCTGAGAGGTTCAAGTAGCATTAAGTACCCGGGAGTCAGAGGGATTGGCTTCAGAGAGGAGTTGCAGGGAATGCAGTGACCAGGACAAGGCAGACCCTGCCTGTGGGCACAGGGCAGTTGTGCTCATGTGTCAGGTTTGGGAGGTTGTGGCTCATTTGCAGACAGGGGTGTATGGGCTTGTGAGGAAAACCATTTATTCAGTTCTGAAGTCTCATCAACAAGATGTTTTGTGGAGTATTCTCCATTCAGCAGTGGATCAGCAGAAACCATCCACCAGAAGCAGCAAACCTCAGGACATCCCTTCTGGAGGTGTTTGTGAGTGTGTTAAATGAGTATGAAAATTCTGACAAGTAACTTCTGTTGTCTTTTCAGATTTTTAGGTGTTTCTAAATTTTCTGTTATTACATGGGGCAGTATATAGCTACCAAATATGCACAAATAATTTGGCAGTAAGTTTCGGGGCTAGAGATGAATGTGGCCTGTTGGCTGTTGTGTAATGTTGCAAGTAAATGACTATTCTGGGCCAAGCCTGAATATATTATGTTTGCTTTCAGTGGTTTGGTGTGTTTTTTCTTCTTCTGTTACAATTGTGAGTTATGTGTATAAACAAATTACAGATATATGTTGTTTATATGCAAGTTATTAGTGCAAGCATTCATTCAGTCTCCACTGTTGGATTTCATTGCATGTTTATAGAAAACCATTCTAGAAACGTTGTGAAGTTTGATATATACACAGAAACATAATTTTCATGTCTGGTTAAGTGGAAGTGGAATTTCAGTTTAGAGTAATTAGTAATTCTTGCATAGGATTAGTCAGGTGTATCCTGAATGCCTGTGATTTCTTGGAGAGACGAATGCAGTCCTTGAGAACCAAAGGTAACATAATCCCAGTTTATTAATGCTTGGCCATTCCCTGTGGCTCAGGACATGCTGTGCTGGACTAGATTCTCTTAGCTTTGTGTGCAATACTTTGACAAACTAATGTTTTCGCTCAAAGGACAAGAAGTCATCTTACTGTTTTATTTATACTTTCTCAAGTAACTTACTTGTAGTTAGTGACCATCCAGACATCCATGTATACCGTGACCATGTATGTATATATACACAGACACTGTGAATATATACACAGCATCTCTAGAAATAATCCAGCTGTGTTGCAGCTCACCCAGCTGCAAGGTATTATCTTCCACGAGGCAGCTGCTTGAAGTCTTCATTTCTCATTGCAGTAGATCATACTTCTCTGCTTCTCTTTTGCCTCCACCTGTTAAAAATCTTCTTGGTTGCTTTTATTCCATTTTGTGGCTGGCTGTTTTTGAAGAATGTCCCTTAATTGCATGCACTCTATTTTTAGTGTCATTTTTTGGTTGTTTTTCCTGTTTTATGTGAAATGCTGTAGGCAGAT